GTACGGGCGGCGCCGGGCTTGTGCTGCCCGCGGGGTGCTGGGGGGCCCTGGGCCGGGGGGACAGGCCCGGCCCGGCCCTGAGGGGTGCGAGGGCTGAGCCTGCCGCCAGCGCGGCGGGGAGGGCGGTGAGCTGTGGGGTGATGGAGCGGTGCTGCCTCTGCCAGGCGAGTTTTCTGGCTGCTTGTCCTTCCTGGCGTGGGGTCAGTGCACGGGTCCCTGCGTGGGAAGGGCTCCAGAAGAGCTTCCCAGGGTTCTGTGGAGGGGGGGTGGAGCTCTGGCCTCTGCACGTTACGAACGCAAGCTTCCCAGAAGATTCTCTGATTTAGAAGAGTCCCCTTCCAGCAAGCATGTCTGAGGTTCTTCACCCAGGCCCAGTTGAGGTGTGAAGTGTTTGCTGTGGGAGCCAGCAGAGGGGCTGTTGTGTACCCCTGTCCCGCTGGAGATGAGCTGTGGCTTGTGCTTTGGGGTGCCCAGCTCTGGAGGGGCAGCTGGGATCCAGAACTGTGCCCTCGGTCTTGCTTTGGCTGGTGGTTTGAGCTATCAGCATTCCTAAGAATGGAGGTTTTGTTGGGGCCGGCCAGGGAGGTCTGTGTGTCCTACCATGTAGCTGTAGGGTGATGGAAAAGGGACAGAAGTTGGTGGCACTGAGCTGGTGTGAGTTCATGGCAAAGCAGGGACCACCAGGTCTCAGGCTGTGTTGGGAGCATCCTTGTCTTCTCCCCAAAACCTTCCCATGGGGAAGTAAATTAAAAAAAAAAGAATGAGGGACAGACAGTCCTGTAAAACTTGGAGGAGGGTCATCAGTGTGGAGGGCTGGTCCTGGGACTGCTGGTTTCTTCTGCCAGGCCACCAGCTCCTGAAGTCTCTGTGGGTCTTGCCATGGAGGTAACGGAGGTTGCTGGGTGGGTTGAGCCTGGCAGTTTTCTTCCAGCTGGGTAGGAGAAGCTTCCTCATAGGTCCTCTATGAAGTCACCCAGCGGTTTTGGCTAAATATGACCCAAAGTCCCCAGCAAGGGTGGCTTGACTTCACCCTGCTCCATCCTGGCGTTGGTCCTCTGTTTGAGAGCGTTGATTGTGCGGCCCTGTGCCTCCCCAGGTAGGCAGTGCCTGGCAAGAGGGACAGCCATCTCCTCCGGGGGAGATGCCAAGACCAGCTGGGGACAGCACTTGGCTCCTGTCTCCTACAGACACTGATGGGTGTCTGCCCCGGGGTGGCCAAGTGTCGCTTGTTCAGGTGACAGCACAACTGGGTCGTTTAATCCCCATCCATCTGCTTCTTGTGATGTATCCCACAGCAAAAAAAAGAGTAAGCTGAGCACCATCAGCCTGTTTCTATGAGCTGAACTTTGACAGAGCTGGAGGAAGGATTTGTAGTAACCCTTAGAAAATTGCCTTGATTTTTTTATTACGGAAGAAGGGGGATTTTAATGTATAGAGGTTGGCGTGTGGGACCTGCACGGCTGAAAGCTGCTCGTCTCTTCAGGCAGTGCCCCTACCAGTTGTGCATGTGGCAAACTGGAGCATGGTGTGATCCCCTGGACCCCAACTGTGGTGGGACAGTGCTGGGGGGAGCTAACGGGGCTTTGGACCTCTCGTTCCATCCAGGATGTGTGACCGCAACGGCGGGCGGCGGCTCCGGCAGTGGCTGATCGAGCAGATCGACAGTGAGCTGTACCCCGGGCTCATCTGGGAAAATGAGGAGAAAACCATGTTCCGCATCCCATGGAAACACGCCGGGAAGCAGGACTACAACCAGGAGGTGGATGCTTCTATTTTCAAGGTAGGGACAGATGGTTAATGCCCCTTCTTAATGGTTTCTGGGCTCTGCGATGCTCTTTCTCCCCTTGTTGACAGTCCCAGTGGTGGGAGATGTCCATGTTCTCTGTGGATTTTGTATCTCTGACCCTTGCAGGAGATGCTTCACCCCACAGTTGGTCTCCCAGGCTCTTTTGGGGGTGTTTGTTCCTTTTTGCCAAATGATTTTAGGTTTGTTTTCAGGATATTTGAATCCTGGTCTGACATGAGAAGCTGAATGTGCTCCTTCTGATCTGCTCTAAACTTCTTATCAGGCTGCTCTTGATAAAAGGCTGGATTTACCAAAAAAAAAGAAAAACCCACCCAAAAAGACTTTGTAGGAGGGAAGGAAGCTTTGGATCTCACTGAAAGAGGGGAGAGGGGATTTCCAGTTTTGAAGAAAAACTGGAAAATTCCATCCCTAATTGAAAATGTCAGGCTCTTCCCCAGGAATTCCCTTCCCTCTGCCTCCAGTTTCAAATAATTGTACTGGTGAGCATGTTCTCTTTCAGGGCGGTGACAGCTGGTTTGGGAGCACTCAGTT